TGCGGAGCTTTAAAAATGGACTGGGAGATTCATACTCATCATGAGACATGCCACAAATAATCACCACAAAACACAAAACTTTATTAGCTAAGAATTCCCTTCACAGATATTCTTCATATGTAGTAATTATTTTCTGATTCTCTTATATCTTTGCTGGAGAAAAAGGAAACATTTTAGCAAAAAAGCTCTATAGCAACCAGAATCACTTTCTGAGAACAAAAAGATTCACATAATTATCTGTACAAAATTCTGCAGCTTGTCTTTCTCAAGAGTTCCACATCACACTCATGGGTTTAAAGAAATAATTCATATCATGAAAAATCAAATATGCCCAAATCTTATTTTGAAATGGGAAATTAATCACAAAATACCAATGTGAAGTTTCCATTTTTTCTGTGCAATGTCTCCTTACCCATTCTACTTGAGTGTAGGCCCCAACTGCTCTATCTCCGGTGACTTTCATTCTCTGGTCACCTTTTTGAACTCTTTCTGTATGCTCACACAACTATACATGTAGTCAGTACTCTAATAAGTCCTAAGCACCTACTTAGAACCTCATCTCCCTTTGAAAAGGTGAAACTCCTGAAAGGTTGAATCCTTCTGAGGCTGAGTCACAGCCCCCCAATGAAATTACAAGACTAAAGCTGTGTTACACAGATAACCTTAAAAGATATATTACAGAAAACACCTGCTATGTCTAACCCTAACCCTACTGGCTAACCACTCAGCTCAGTTTCTGCCAATTTAAAATTTCCATTTTATCCTCTTGTCAAGCACTATGCCCAGACTAGATCACATCAGTAAAATAATAATAAAAAAGAATCCCAGGGAAACGAAGACACAAAATGCCCATAGTACTGTTCACATTTGCAAACAGGATTTCACTGCTCTCCTGATAGAGCTGCTCAGGAGAAACAGGTGAATACAGTTCTCCAAACTGGGAACAACTGGGTAATCCTTATGTTCTACAGGGGAAAATATGAAGACTGGAAGAAATGATAAAAAAGTGGTATTTCAGTTTCAAAACGAAAATAAATTGATCAACCTAAAAGTAACTAACAACAAAATGCATCGAATATAGTCAAAAGCACACCTGCTATTGCAAACACCATTGCTAAGCATCAGATATATTCAACATGCTGAACACGAATGCCTTCATCTGTGTTTCTGATCTAATAGGAAGACAAATTTATAATAAAAGAACTAAATATCACATGTACCTTACTGAATGTAGGAAACTGTGAGTCACTGATTGTTCATCCATGGTGACCTTCTGCTGAGACCAGACACTCATCTCTGCATCCCCAGACATGAGCATGTAAACTTTGCATTGTGCCATGTATCACTCACTAGTAGAGACTATGTGTCAACTTCAAAATTCAATATAAGTTTAAATTGCAAACATTTTCTCCTCATTATCTCAGGGTCACATGTACTTTAGAAAAGATAATTTGGGGTAGACATAAACTGTAAATGTGTATCTCATGTTGAAAAAGCTCTTGCTCAGTTATCCAGGGTGGTCTTGGTTTTGAAACACTCCTAACTCTCCCAAGGGGCTGGCATTATACTTTTGAACCACCAAGATTCAGTATTGTTTACTTTACCCCAACACTGAAACCTTCATGAAATTCAGTGACATAAAAATGAAAACACTGATTCAGGCATGGTATTGCATCCTGGAAACCCTAGAACTACAGAAGATGATGCATGAGACTCTGAGAGTTTAGGACAGTGTGAACTACAGAAGGAGACCCAGTGCTCTCCACCAAAGCAGAGGCACAACAGTATAACAAGGTAGCACATGCAGGTCAACATGTTACAGGCAGCTGAGCTAGTTAGAATTATTGCAGGCAGTCAGCCAGGGCTAGGCACTCCAGTTAGCTGGCAAAGAGGACCAGATGTCTGGTGACTTTGGAGTAACACACCTCTTGCTGTGGGCCAGATCTCAAAAGAAATGCAACCACACCCTTAAGTATAATCCTGGAGTCACCTTTTCAAGCCCCTACAGGAAGAGTCACACTGATGCACAAAGAATGCTTGCTTGCTGCCTGACTGGCTTCCCAATTTGTCCCAGACTTAAGTCAATTTTATCTGAAAATCTGAACTTATTGGTTGACTATATCTCTCTCCCAACTCATGCCTGCCTGCCTAGTGAGTTCTTTTTTTCCCCTCCTTAGACTGGCCTTACTTCATAAAAATTCCTAGAAAATACAGTCTTTGGGAGTCCAGTTGGGACCCCTTCTGTCTCTGCCAAGACAGAAGCTTTCTTTCTCTCAATAAATACACCTGCCTTTAACCTCTGCTGTCCATAAATTCATTTTTAAATTCAGAGAGCATTATCTTCTACTGGACATATAATAGCTTGAGAGTTTCATTCCCCTATATCAAGCTTAACAATCAAAGTGCTGGCAAAGTCTCAACACTTTGTGCCACCTTGGACAAAGTAGTAAGACTTCATCTCAAAATGCAACAGAAGATTTTTTTAAAATTAAATTATTTTTTAAATTTTGGAGGATGTAGATAAGGGCCAAATTTCTGAGGTCAGTCACTGAACAGTCAGAAACATCATCTATTCCTTGAAATCTTTGGTGTCCAACAGAAATTCTTTCCCATGCCACTTTGGCTATGATGTCCAACATACTTTCAAACTTCCAAAACTATTGCTCTAATTTCCTGCCTTACCTCAGAGATGATTAGGAGAGCTAATCAGTAGACAGAGAAGCCTTTTCCTACTCTCAGACCTAGCAAGCAGACAATCTCTCAGTGCTGGGTCACACTAGGTTCAGCTGACCTCAGAAGTGCTCTACTCCTCTGCCTGCTGATTGGGCCTCTGTCCACATGCCCATGTTCTCCTATTTCTTTTCAATCACTTTGGCTCTTATTCAAAATAACTTTTGTTCTTATTCTTCAATACTCATGCAGATCCTATGTGAATATACCCCTACTTTAGTAAAAACTGCATTTCAGTGTTGCAAATTTTTTTGTCTTTTTGAGACAAGGACTCACAAGGCAGTACAGTAGGCCCTTGAGCTCACTTTATAGTGAAGGTTTGTCTTAAATTTGCAAGCATCCTCCTGTACCAGCTTTCTGAGTGCCCAGATTAAGGGTATGTGCTGCCACACCCCACTCAGTGTTTCAAATTTCAGATCAAAGTCTAAACACAGCCCTAAGGGTAAAGCCATTCTTTCCCTTCTCATAATTATCACATCTCTACATTCCTGTAGATACCAGTTTGCTGTGTTTCTCAGTGTGGGATTAACATGCACCACATACAGGAAGTTGTTCTCTGCAGGAACTTTCCCTTCAGGAGCTAATGCATTACCATCCCTCAAATATTTCACTATTGTATTGTTATCTAAAGGAGCCATTTTGTTCTGTATGCATCATTACCCTGGTAACCCTGTGCTGTCTCAACCTTTGTCCCCTTTGTGAAAGACAATTGTTCCTGGAATCAGCTGACCTCCAGTCACCCATATTCTGTCTCAACCTTTGTCCCCTTTTTGTGAAAGACAGTTGTGCCAGGAATTAGCTGACCACAAGTTGCCAGGTTCCTGTAAATAAGGAACTTGTTGACCACTAGCTGTGAAAATTTCCACAAGGCAACTGACTAAGCAAGAAACTCCCAAATCAAATAAGGAACAAAAAGCCTTCCTCAGCCTTAACCCCTCCTACCCCTGCTCTGCGGTTTCAAATTCCAATGCTACTGTGCCGTTGATGCTGTTATATCCATAATATTGTACTTTAAAAATGGGGAGAGACATCTTTAAAATGGAAAAGAAGCGCTTTATTTAAGCTGGTACCCAGGAACACGCCTGCATTCTAATTTGCAGAGCTGTGCAAGTAGGTCAGGCTACAGGGAAAACTGCAAAGAAGAGGGAGGGAGCTTTATGCAAGCAGGCGGTTCATTATTGTGAAATGTTTTACAACCAACAGGTTGAGCCACGTGTTTTACAATCAGTGGTCAGCAAATGCATAATTCACAGGAAACAGAAATTGGAACAAAGGTCAGGGTAATGACACTTTACAGAACAGGGTAGCTGCGCCTTAGCTGACTTACAACAGTGCCAGCTTAAATAATGGACATCGTCACATTTTGGGGGTACAACATTCACAGCATTCTAAATTCTATGAAAAGCCTTGCTTCACTAGTTCAATTGTAAAAAAGTTTTGATTTACTTAGCTTATAAATTAGGCACTAGCTAAGGAAAGAGCCTGAGATAAAATTGCAAAATTAATAGCTTTGATAAGAATTAAAAGGCAAATACATGAAGACGTGGGGCTTTGAACAGCAGTGATTTTGTCCCCCACAGTAAAATGCAGATTCCATTCTACTATGCTGACTTGCAGCTGCTAATTACTAAATTCCTGAGATAACACATTTAAATACAAATAGCCAGTGTATCTCTAAACCCTGTTTACCCTAGACCTCACAAGATGAACAAATGGGTTAGAGAACCTGGGCTCAAAGTAGTTATTTTTTCCGGGTGCAGGGACTCAGGACTATAATCTCCTCACCACTGGAGGCTGATGGAGGAGCATGACCCAGAGCTTAAAGTCAGGTCAGACTATGTAGATATGTTCAGTATCCAAACAAAAGGACAAAAGGAAAGAAGACAGACAGATAGATAGTTGAGACCTATTTTAAATCCTCAGAGCCTAGTGCAGCTGCCATCGGACTACCCACGTGGGAAGCAATAGGGAAGTCAAGGAGCTCTTCTCATTTCTTAGTTTAGTTCCAGAACGCCACACTCAGTGTGGAGAGATTGAGAGTTCTGTTTATGCGGTAACATCATCGCTAGTAGAGATCGCACAGAAGGAATTCAGATGACGGGTTTTTCTCACCGAGAACTCAGATTTACCCCCAAATCACTGCACTCCTCAAACACAGCAGTGCCTGGGGCTATCCAAAAGGCTTTCTAAGCTTACAGTGGTTCTGTTTACCTCTTTCCAAAAATCCACACAATTCCAACCCTTTCGCAGCTCAAATACCATCATATTACCATTGTGATGCTTGAGGGTGTCCGAGGATCCTTTGCAGCCCTCACTAAGAAGTCACGGAAAATAGACGTGCTCTCAGGTCCAGGCTCTTAGCACCAAACTCACAACAAGCACTTCCGCACCAGGACTGGGAAGATCCCTCCTCCCTTGGCCCTCCTGATTGGATGTGCAGCCAGTCCCAACGTACCAATGATTGGCTCTTGGGCCCGTCAGTCTCCTGTGACGTCACCCTCACCAGTCAGGATTCATACTTCCCTTTAAAGGTTTTACTACTGGCTTTTTACAGCTGTTCTGGGTTTCCTTAAGGGTGCAGTGCACTTTTCCTGAAGATGGGTCCTAAATATTCCCAGATGAATGTCCTCCCGAAGAAACAATCCCTTGAAGATAGAAAAGATTATTTGGCCAGGTGAGACCAGGACAAATTTGAATGGGTAGGGGCTGCTGTCAGAAATGAAGCCATAAACTTCACCGGCTAGATTTTCACTAGGTCTGTCTCAATCCGTTCATTTTCATCGAACTAATTATAATATGTACACCAAGAGAATTCCATTACAGAGTGAATGTAGAAACTACACTTTTGGGAAAAGTAAAGATGAAGGAAAATCAAACAGTCCAACTGCTTCATAAAAGCTTCATACCATATCCAGTGTCATAAATCAGACCTAAATTTTGAAGATAAACCTATAGAAGCATGAGTTCCCAAGTATTGCTGAAACAGAGTATTGCACTTGATCCACTAGATCACTTCCTATATCAAGTGTGGGATACAAAAACAGTTTAAACTGGAAGTGAAAACATTTTTGGCACACATGGGTGTATACTCCACTCTAAGGTCATTATATTAGAGCATTAGCCTGTCATCTAATTGTTGACTTCATATCTAAGGTTGATTTTAACAGAGCTATAAATTTTAGACCTAAAACACAGACAGCATGAAAGAAAATTAATGAATCTGATGTAGGAATCTGCAGGCAGGCAAAGGTACCTGAGTTGGGATTCCAGGGTTTAGCACAGTTTCCAGGGAAAGGGCTTTGTTGCCACTTTAAGCAATGCAGCCAGGAACAAGCCCTCAGTTATCTGGCTACAGGTAGTTGTCTGACCCTCATTTCTTGTCTTTCTTCCAAAGGAAGAGTTTTCATTTTCAATCTCGCTATCTCTAAGCCCTTATTTTTATGAGCATTACATTCGCTCTTTGCTATAGGGCAGTGGAAGAGTGTACATCCCAACATGTGACTGAATCAGGTAGAAAATCATTTCTCTTCTTTTTTATGGGTTCCACTAATTGAGCTGCAAAAACTGTATTCTTGTCTTTTTTACTTTCTAGTAAAATTAGAAAAATATCTCTCCTAGGTTCCTGCTTTATTCCACAGCTACATTCCTTGTCCTTGTGAGTCACTGAACTCAGTTTCTCCCAAATTAAGAGATTCAAAAACATTCTCTGTAATGATTACTGGTAGGATATTGATAATAATCTTGATCTCTCCCTAACAACAGTGCGTCTTGAATAAGAGAGTTCCTTATAAGTGTGCTGATGGAGTTTTTAATTACCAATTATGTATCTAACCATATTTAATGTGATGGATGTATTGATATGAAGTGCATAAATTTCTGTTTCTAAGCATCAAACTTCTGACTTATCTGAGTCCCTAATTCACTCCTAAGAAAAGATTCAAAACCTGGCACTAGCAGGTTCCCTATGAAATTCCTGCAGTTAATTGGCACACTAACTCTATGACAACCTCCACAGTGCACAGGTACTTTATTGGTTTTCATATTAAATAAATTCTGTTATTAATGTACTTTGGATTCCTGAGTGTTTTTGTACTTACAAGAAGAGATGATATCTGAAGTTTTGCCATTCTGCATTTGCGTTACTGAATTTTCTATCTCTGTGGTGAAATATATGAAAAATTCAGATACTGGAAGTGGGATTTTTAGTGGAGGTGTATTTTTGCACATACTTTCTGAAGATCAGAGCATGGTGGGAATGTGAGCCAGAGTACAGGAGCTCAGCTCATATTGCTAAAGATGTAGAATAGACAGGAAGAAGCTACATCAAAGCAGAAAGCTTCCAAGGGCACTACATATGTGTGTGTGTGTGTGTGTGTGTGTTTCTGTGTGTCTGTGTTCCTATCTGTGTGTGTGTGTGTGTATGCCTGTGTGTGTATGTCTGTGTATGTGTCTCTGTCTGTGTATCAGTGAGGAAGCAGGGATTCTACAATCACACCAGGAGTCTCCTCTCTATTTTTTCTCTACACAACACATGACTTACATCACAGTGCCGCTCAGATTCTCTGTTCCTTAAAGCTCAATTTTCTGTCTCCACATGGTTGTTGTGTCTTGGTGCACACTGAACTCACTCCTTGTGTCTCTCACACAATGATACCCAGCAGGATACTCAGGGTCACAGACAGTAGCTTCTGCAAAATAGGGTGTTGCACTGGTCTCTGGAGTTGAATGCACTGTATTTAATTAAAGACCTATAGAAATCACTCCTAAAATTCATCTGGAACCAGAAGAGATCTAGATTGGCAAAGGCAATTCAAAGTAGCAAATGCAAGGCAGGAGGCATCACAATCCCTGACATGAAATTATACTACAAAGCTACTGTAATAAAATCAACATGGTACTGCAATAAAAACAGATCTGAATATCAATGGAATAGCCTAGAATATACAACCACAACTACTGACACACTTAACCACTTTATCTTTGATAAATGGGCCAAATATTTTCACTGGAAAACTGACTGTCTCTTTAATAAATGGTGCTGGAAAAACTGGCTCTCCATATGCTGAAAACTAAAACTAGACCCATGCCTATCACCATGTACTAAACTAAAATCTAGATGGATCAAAGATCTGAATATTAAAACAGCAACACTAAGTCTGCTGGAAGACAAAGTAGGTAAACATCTTGAAGACATATGAGTAGGTAGGAATCAAACCACATGGAAATGCTTCTCAGAATCAATAGCTGGAATCACGTCTTATTAAAAAGTTTCTGCATGTTAAAAGGAATTTCCAGCACAATGAAAAGAATAGCCACAACCTGGGAAAAAATCTTAGTGAAGTTTCCCTCAGACAAAGAGCTTCTGTCTAAAACATATAAAAAATTTTAAAAAATCAGATCCCTGAAACTCAAGGACCCAATCCAAAAATGGGCATCTGAAATGAATACACAGTTCTCTGATGAAGAAATACAAATGGCAAATAAATACATGGAAAAATGTTCATCATTATTAGTCATTAGAGAAATGCAAATTAAAACCACTCTGAGATTCCATCTCACTCCAGAAAGAATGGCCAAGATCAAGAAAACTACCAACAACAAATGCTGGTGAGGATGTGGGGGAAAAGGAACTCTCCTGCACTGTTGGTGGAAGTGTACAGTGGTGCAACCACTGTGGAGGTCAGTCTGGAGATTCCTCAAAAATCTGGGATTGGAGGTCCCATAGAAGCCTGCTATTTCACTTCTGGGCATATTTCTTTCCCAAAAGAACTGTAAATATCATACCACGGTGATATATGTGCACCCATGTTTATAGCAACACAATTTGCAATTGCCATATCTTGGAAACAACCTAAGTGTCCATCAACTGAGGAATGGATAAAACAGTTGTGGTATTTTTATATAATGGAATACTACTCATCTATAAAGAATGATCACATTGAGATATTTACTAATAAATGGGCGCATCTTGAGACCATACTCATAAGCAAAATAAATCAAACTCACAGGTATAAATACGGTATAGTCTCCCTAGTGTAAGAAATAGTAAGAGTGCATAAGAGTTTATGGTAATCATGATTCCCCATTACATCATTTTGAAGCTTTATAATGATCACATTCGTTAGTTGTAATGGGTTTGTCCTGGTTTGTTTGAGTTTTATTAACTGTGATGGCATGAACAGCTAATTTGAGGGACACAAGTCATTATAATAGCCAGTAGTGATATAATATCATCTTGCTCTGAAGTCCTACCATGCTTTTGCTCTTCTGGTTCCATTGGTTCTGTCATGTTGTACCTTATTGGATTGTACTAGGTGTGAAAGTATAAACAAATTTTCCATGGAAAATGAGATAATATTGTAGCCATTTTTTGTTTTCTGTTTTTTGGTTCTGAATGCCCTGTAATATTCTTATTCTATTGAATGTTTTTATACTATTTTGTTATGTTTGATACTACTGGATATGAAGTTATACTCAACTGTTTCAAAGAAAGAGAAATTGTGGTAGTTACTGTTAATTACGGATTGCCTCCAGGTGAAATACTGTGTTGTTTACATTGTTTCTGATCTGCTTTGTCTTAATCTCTTTAAAATAAATAAAAAAGACAATCATAAACACAACCTCCAGCACCTGTGTGCACAAATAATTCCAAACCTAGAAATTATTCAGTATAAAAGGTAGGAAACAACACATGCTGATAACTGACAATGTTATGTAAAAAGCTTGTACAAAATTAGTGCTTGTTGACTATAGATGGTCTGTACTGCTCCCTTCCATCCAAGTTGAGCACTCAGAGATGGGATAACTGACTTGTCCTATATCTAGCTCAGATGACACTATATCCAGGATACACATGATCTACCGTCTCTCTGTCACCTAACCCATCAGATTCCCCAGACAGTCACCAGGATTGGGGTTTTGGGATCCAGAGAAGGCTTTTAGTCCTTTGGCTGTGTCTCCTTGAGAAGTAAGTGGCACCTGCAGGGAGTTTAGGCCTGGCTTTGCTGACATTCTCACTGTGTCTATTTTCTCTGGACCTTCATCTTTGATCCAGGATGCAAGGCTTACAGGTTCCTGCCTCCTGGTACAGCAAATGCCTCACGCCCACAGTGGAGAGCACACTGATGGGGAGATGCTGGATGACTGGAGAGAGGGGAAGACCACAAGGAGGTCACATCATGCTCCTTGGCACCACAGCCCACAGGTAACCTCCAGAAGCTCTCAGAATCTGAAGAAATAATCATGTGTTACTGAACGAGTGGTGTTTTTTCATGATCTGCTGTCTTTGATTCCAGCCAGTCCTCCTTTCCTATGACCGCTTTCAGAGTCAGTGCATCTCTGTGCCACCCTCCTTGCACTACAGTCCCCTCATTATTTCCTCTCACACCGGGGTAGTATTC